ACGTGAAAGGTACTCATCACTGGGTTTGGTTTTGGGGAGACACAAATGGGTGTCTACAGGTAGCAAATTGGATACCTTCAGAGACGTGTCCTCAACGGTGCAAGATACGCGTTTCTTAACTCTTTTATCTGTTTAACTAACGCTAGTTTGCAGGTATCGGCGTTACAAGAATGGTTTAGGATCGCAGAACGTTCTGAATCATTCTCCTTCCCTATCGATAGTTTGACTTTTGTTTTCGAAACTTGCGTTTCTCCAAACTCAGTCAAAGTGGGGGCTTCTGTAGACATCCATTTGTGTCTCCCCAAAACCAAACCTGGTGATGAGTACTTTTCACGTCAAATCATAATCGAATGAAGTTAAAGTGTGGAAAGTCTAGTATTGCGGATAGTTTTAATTTCTTTTCTTTATTTTCTCTCTGTTTTTGAAAACCTATTTTAAGAAAACAACCAATCCAGTTTAGTTTGGTTCATGGAAAGGGTCCAATAATGGTGTAGTTGGATGGGGTTTGAAAAGAGCTTTCCAACAATATATTATAAGCCCAATTCCGATGAATAATGAGGAAGTTATGGCAAAATTACTAAACTGAGCCCGGTTTGAGCCTTATATGCGGCCCAATGATCCAGAGGAGGGCCTAATATGGATTTATCATTCCTAATGCAATTAGGAATGATTTTAGTCTTCTAGATTCTTCTAGAAGGTTCTTTTCATACCTAATTCAATTAGCATTGATAAATTGACTTTTGTTGACTTTTACAGAGTTTTAATTAGAATAAAAGAGTGTTTTTAAGGAAAATACGATTTTGCCCTCTATACGGTCAAATTTTATCTGAATTTGGAAAACGCGTGAAAAATTTGATTAGCACCTAACGCCAGTCATTAGCACCTGGCGCTAAGCCTGGCGCCTGGCGTTATCGTTAGCGCCTGGCGCCAATGGTCAGCGCTTGGTGCTAACTTCGTTTTTTCATGTCGAAACTCTGATTTGTTTTTTTTTTTTATCTTTTTGGCTGATTTTCTCTATAATAGCCTCCTAAAAACTCCGTTTTCAATCAGCTACAATCATCAATTCTCAAGAATTCTCTAATTCTCTTCTCCCTCGAAGCTAAAGCTCTCTTTCTCTTTCTTTTCTAAACCAACCTTTATACAAAATTCCGCATTCACAAGATCAATAAACACCTAGCATTATTCGAAGTTGCCTTCGCCCTAGACGTGAAAGGTTTTAATTTCTGAGGGTTTGGTCCCAAATTTCTCTTTCAATTATTTAATTTAATTCTTATGATTATTATTTTCCTTGAAGTTACTAACGCGTGTATTTTGTTATTAGAAAGAGGTACGAGGCATCCAAGTAAGTGCTTTAATGGTTTTATTGATATTTATAATGTAGAAATCATGCTTAGGTTGTTATTATGATCCCTAGTGTCATGTTAGGGTAGTTTGATCTTCATAGTATCATGTTTAGGGTAACAACTAAAAAATGTTAATATCAAGTATGATTAAAAGTATGATGCCTTTTATATTCTTCCTAATATTTATGATTGTTAGTATCATGTTAGGGCTAAAGCTTTGATTTTTATTTCTTAGTGACATGCTAGAGTTTTTTATTAATCTTGTTAGTATCATGCCTATGATCTTTCTATTATTATTATGCTTTAACATGAACATGATTGCTTCTATGATTTATAATTATTTTGATGATGATTATTTTATTATTATTATTATTATAATTGTTATTATTTTTATTATGATGATTTATTATGTTGCTTGATGATATATATTATTGTTATTGCTTGATCACACCTTTTATGCATGTTTAAAGGGAATTGGTACTTGTAATCACGCTTAATAAGATAATTAATAATCTTGTTTAGGGTTAATATTATTATAATTCAAATGATCGTCAATAATAGTTTATTTGTGCATTAATATTCAACTAACATAGATAAATAGGTTTAGGGTTAAACTTATTGATTGCATGTTAGTCAGAAAGCGCACATGAATACAATCAGAATAAAGTAGAGGCCTATTATTAGGGCAGGTTCAATCTCTTTTAGGTTGGATTTGTACCTTCATCCCCGAACTACCAATCATGGTTCCAGACCTATTGGAGTAGACATCTCCTGGATCGTTAAGGGGTGTAACCTTCACCTCGTGAATGGTTTACAAGTCCAAAAGATTTAACGACAAGGTTATTATTGGACTACTATGAGGAGAGATTTGTCACTAATATGTCAAGAAATGTATGAAGTGTCAAGTGTACGCAAATTTGCATCACATTCCACCTTCGCTTCTCTATACATATACTTCTCCATGGCCTTTCTCTACTTGGTGTATCGACATCATTGGAAAGATAACTCCACCAGGACAAGGGGGGCATGAATTCATCCTTGTAGCAATCGACTATTTCACCAAATGGGTCGAAGCTGCCTCATATGCTAAGCTAACAGCAAAACATGTAGCTCAATTCATTGAGAAAAATATCATATGCCACTATGGGGTACCTCATGAGATGATCAATGATAATGGGACGCATTTCCAAGCCGAGTACACAGAACTATTAAAGAAATATCATATCAAGCATCACAGATCATCACCCTACAGGCCACAAACCAATGGTGCGGTCGAATCGACCAATAAGAATGTGAAAACTATCATCGAAAAGATGACGGAAAATTACAAAGATTGGCCAAGTAAGCTACATTTCTCCCTTTAAGGTTATCGAAACTCTGTTCGTACATCAATGGGGGCTACCCTTTTCTCTTTGGTCTATGGAGTTGAAGTTGTACAACCAATAGAGATCGAAATCCCTTCTCTCCGAATCGCGTTGGAAAACCAACTAGATGAAGTTGACTGGATTAGAGCAAGATATGATGAACTAGTCTTACTTGACGAAAAACACTTGGCAGCTTTGCATCATGTCCAAACCTACCAAAAGCGTATGGCACGACATTTCAATAAAAAAAGTCAAGACTAGGAACATCAAGGAAGGTGATTTGGTGCTTAAGGCACTTCGCAAAAATGTGTTGAATCCAAGAGGAAAATTTAGACCAAACTGGTCAGGTCCATACATTGTTAAATCCATTTTGTCTGGCAGAGCGGCACAATTGGTAGACATGGAGGGCAACGGTTTCCACAATTTAACCAACTTGGATCAACTCAAGAAATTTTATGCCTAGTTGCATGGGTTCATGACCTGATAGAGCTACGTTTGGCCTGATTCCTTTTTAAGGATACGTAGGCAACCCCTCAAGGGGGCCCGACCACTTTAAAAAATAAAATCCTTCCTCCGTCGATCAAGTACAACACTCAAGACAGCAAAACGGAGCTAAAATCAAGAAAATCATGCATTGCGCCAGTTTAGCATCCACCGCGCTACGTCAGCTGCCACCGTCGCACGACAAAATACCCTGTGGCACGGCAAAAAAAATGTCGTGCCACGTTAGCAACCACCGTGCCGCGAGAAGAGTTACTGTGTCACGACAGTTTTCACCGTGTCATTTCCAGCACAAAAAAAAAGGCAAACCTTCCCCGCGTCACGGTACTTTCCAGCGTGACACGGTGGATTTTTTGCGAATTCCTTTTTTGTTACTTCTTCGACGGTTGTTATTATTCTTCCATTGCGTCCGACTTCTTAACTCGGATAAAAAAAAATAAAAAAAAGGGTCATTGTAATTTTTATTTAAGGCGAAAATAAATATGCTATTATTATTAAAATAAATGTGACTACAATTATTGGCACCATGCGCCTTATTTAAAAATTAAAAAATTATGAATCATATAAGCAAAGAAATATTTATCTAATCCTTCTTCACTTTAGGAACCTCCTTCTCTTTTTCAAATAGGTCGGCCTTCACCATTAATGTGTCTTTTGTAGCCCGAACCGTCACACCTCTAGTTGAATTTTCACCCCTTCCACCTTTCTTAGAATTCTTCGATTGCTTCTCTCTATAAACCATCTTTTCCTTACCCTTTCCTTTCACATAATTTTTCTTTTTAGGCATAATAGGAATCTTAAACTCAATTCCTTGTGTTCTCGGACCTAGACGATCTTTAAGAGTCGCCTTCTTACTTCCAAGACGTCCCTTCACATCAAAGTTGCATGATCCGACTCGATCCCTTCGGCTTCTAGGATTCAACCATGCCTTGTATGCACTTAATAAGGGAGGAGGAGCTTGGTTGCTCGCAGAAACGGTCCACAAAGGTCTTCCAATCCAATAAGTCTCGTACTTGTGAACGTTAATTTCATGCAACGGTACTTCACGAGGACTATCGTTATAGCGTGGAACTACTTGTTCAAGCCAATATTGTCGCATCAATCGAGAAGGACAATAAAAAGTCAATTTTGAAATACTAGGAACGCGACAAATAGGAGGATCATTCGTACCAACCATCCTAGTAAGCCTCCACCAAGGCACCACCCACCGAATGGAAAATTCTCTCTTTGCAAAGAAGACCTTCCAATCATCATACGACATGTTCGCAGAGTAATTCTCCTTCCTACGGACCAGATCATTGGGACCATATTTTTCAATATCGTCGGGGGCTTTAAAAAGTTCTAAACGCTCCATCAACCAAATCTGCAAAATAAATAAAAAATCAGTCAAAAAAAAAAATTGCAGAAAACCACCGTGACACGGCAGAATGCACCGTGTCACGGCAGACATGCACCGTGACACGATGACAGCTTTGTGTCACAGGGGCTAATCAGAGCGCGTTTTTACCTGCAAAAGTACTAGAGAGCCCTTCCTGGTGTCTTCCGGTCAGCTTTTGCTTCGTCAAGGCCGCGTAAAGTTTCTCCAAGGTAAGTAGGCATAGGAGATCTCCCATATTCAACATGTTCAAGCACAGACACTAAACATGCATGTCCTACCCTACCGTTTGCAAATAAAAGCTTGCTAAACATGCAAAAAATATAAGCCCTTCCAAGGTATACATGATAAGACTCAAAGACAGGGCGATTGAAATATAAATTTGCAAGTTTTTCTAAATCTACTTCATTACCACACACAATTTTATTTAAATCTGGATCTGTCAGACTCATATAGCGTTCAAAGTCTTGGTAATAATACTCACATAGGGTAGGCATTGCAATGAGATTTTTGGCAGGAAAACTAAAGATGGCACCGAATTCCTCCGGCAGGGGACAAATTTCATCATAATCAAATTTAAAACAATGTGTTTGTGGATTCCAATAATCTAAAGCTGCCCTAAGAAAATCATGTTCAATTGCTACATGCCTCAAGGCTAATAAGCCTCTGACATTAAACAATTTCAGCTCTCTTTTGTCAGCATTGGTCAAAGAATAAGACCAGTCGCGCAATGTATTATCAAAATTTTGAGACAATATTATTGAAATATGAAATTCTAATTATTTTATGTTTTGTAATTATGCATATCACGAATAAACTGGTCCTCTTTTATAGCCAAAACGTTTGGAAATACTCAAAATCTATCTTTCTATGTGCACAAACTACACCGTTGCAGAATAAGCGCACTGTAACACGGGAAATTCCGCCGTGTCACGGGAAATAGTGTCGCGACACGGCAGGCTTTGCCGTGACACGGTGTACATAGATGTGTCGCGGTGCCCACGCGTCTTCATATTTTTATCCGGATTTTTATCGTTTTCCCTTCACCATTTATCTTCTAATTTTGTTTTTCGAGAGTTTTATTCCTAATAAAATTCTCCATTTAATTTATCTTTTTTTTTTTTTTTTTTTATCTTTATTAATTGTTATTATCTTATTTTTATTTTCTTTTTATTTTAGGGGAGTTATAAAACTTGCCCCATTTTTCTTTTTTGTTTCTTTTTCTTTTGGGGAAATTGTAAAATTTGTCCCATTTTTCATTCTCCTTTTTTCTTTTGGGGAAGGTAGGTACCCTCCACTTACGATTTTTTCGCGTCATTAATAAATACACAATCACTCACAATGAGTCTCAAGCACACACTACTACACACTAATAAATGCATAAACTCTGAATAAAATATACAAAGTAAATTGTGATGCATAAACAACGTCAAGTGTCATCAACCAAAATACAAAATAAAAACCCTCGGTCAAAAATATAGAACTAGAAGAGTGAGGATCAGTGTCATCTCCAGCCTGCGATTACGGGAACGGTGAACCAAAGAGTCCCTCCATCATCCGGGTACGAGGAGTAGTATCCTTACTGGTCCCTGTAGCTCTAGTAGCAGACAAATAAAAACTTCCAACTAGCAAACGACGTAGACTGACTCCAAGAGGTAGGAAGCTCGATGGAGGCATCATCCCAGACACTGAACTGAAAATAAGCCGGGCACCGGTGGAGGAAGCGCCCTAGACAATGAAACTGAGTATAAACCCTAGTCCACAGGGGTAAGGACTGGCCTGAACTCAGGCTGTGAAGGCTAGGAAGATGAAGGTCGCTGCCACTGACCCTGAAAATGTTGGAATGGCTGAGAAGGCTAAGCATGTTGCCACTAAGCCTCCTGAAATGGGTGAGAAGGCCGAGGCTGCTGCTGAGACTGAGAATGCCGATGAACCTCAAGAGATCGTCTGCGGCGACTAGGCTCCCCCTCGTCCGAACCTCTGTGCCTCGAGCGCAAGCGAGACCTCCGTCGCTCCTAAAAGACACAAAATGAAAAGATGTTAATAGTGTAAGATACAACAAATGGTAAATATGGGGAAAAAGGTGAATATACCTCGAGAACGCCTCCAGAACCGCCCCGACAACTCGCACCACGTCGAAGCTTGATGATGTAGTACTTTAAAGCGTCAACCATCTTCATGAATCCCATCATTTCCGGGTGCGTAGGCTGAGAAGAAAGCAAAGAAAAATCAGTAACAAGCAATTTTAAAAAGGATGAATAACGTGTCAAAAAGCTTATCGGCTCAAACACATCAGGCAAAGACTAATGTGCCTATCTAAAACCCTCTGGCGCGTCAGCAATATGATCCTCAGTAATACCGATCGGTCCCGGGTAACGGACAGATTGAGGCGGGACCTCAATCTTCCCCATACGACAATTAATCGTCTATAAATACGATCGAATAATCAGGTTATTCGACAGTTTAAACAGAGACTAGCGACAAAACTCTCAAAAGAAATCATACCTTGGGAAGACGAGGTGGAGGACCCAAAGAAGGAATCAAGTCCTGTGAATAATCTCCCTCCATACGCACAAGCTCCTGCCAAAAAAAGTGTAGCGTTATCCCCTATTTATCAACTCCCTAAGCAAACGTGAGTCCAGCATCGACTCCGGCGGAGGCAAAGGCACCACAAAGCGATCAGCGCTGTGCTGACGAACAACGCACTCCCCAAGATACCAAGCAAAGCGTCCAGTACCAACAAAAATAGTACCGTACGCCGAAAGCCGCAAGGCTCGGGAAGATCAGTCATCCTAGTCCAAGGCCGATACTAGATCTCAACAGCAACCTGAAAACCATAAAAAGTTGCAATGAATGCCGAAAAATAACAACAAGGTAGAGAATAAACTGCTGCAAGATCAATTACTACACCAACAGAAGAGGTGCCTCGGTGTAGCAGCTCGTGCAACGTAGAGACGGACTCCACTCGTGACTCGCCTCGGTCACGCCAGCTAGCTCCGACAGGGAAATCATGGACCGCTCTGCGACGCCGTCGAGGGGCCAATCTCGGAAAGTACTCATAGAACCACAAGTGCAATGAAAAGTATTCTTTAAGCACATGATTTAAAAAGGTTGAAAACAAAACAAGAAGAAGAAAGATCGTCACCTCTACGACTCTTCATAAACCGTAGACAGTGACAAGGGTCTGGTCATTCAGTTGCCTACAGCCATGACGTATCGACGAGAGAAGATCGGCATATCTAAGGTTGGCCCAACTATAGGATCATATCTAGCCGATCCTGACCAAAGAAGGAAGGTAGCAAACGAGTGCACGTGAACTCCTATCAGGAGAAAGAGTCACGGAAATGAGAATCAAAATGAAGATCCGCACTCGCTGCTCAGGTGATGTCTCATCCATGTCAAAGCCACAAGCCAGAACAGAAGCCAACTCTGATCGCCCTCTCTTAGGACCACCTCGAGGCATTGGCTGAGTCTTGATATGCTAAACAACCGGACCTAACAAATCTGCTACCTCAGCCACCCCCCAAGTAAGGTCAGGAATCTGCCGTACGACTCGATCGGTGAAGCATAAGCCGCTGATCATGCTAAAATCCAGGGGGTCACTGTCATCTCCCCCCAAGAAAAGTGAAAAGTGTTGGTAGTATCCCAAAAATACTCCAACAACGCACGAATAACTGTTGGGCCATAACCCCGGGGGCTGCGAAATCCTACGACCGCCGAATAAAAATCTCCTAAACCAGCAGACTCCCACAAGGCATTCGTAACAGGATCCCTCGTGATAATCCCATATATCCGGGGAATCAAATCTCCAACTCCGGATCCATGATGGCAAAGCGTACCATCGACTATGCCGGCAAGTGGACGGTGAGAAACGTGGTTCTCACGGCAGAAAACCAACTCATCTGGAGTCCATGGAGGTGGAATCCACCTGCCCCTACTCGAAGAAGGGCGAGGCTTGGTCTCTAAGGCATCGTCGTCCATACCCTCAAGAACTGTGGGAGTGTCCACCCGAAAAGCCTGACGCCGGCCACGAGTAGAAAGATCGCGATCCCGTTGTCTAGGCATGCTATTACAAAAGTAAAAATCTAAATACTTAGCATCATTTCCTAAGTTATTTAGTTATTTATTAAAAAGCGGCTTAACAGTTACCTTAAGTTGCATTTTCTATTATACGCAAAATTTTTACCTCAAGGCTAAAAATTAGCAAAATAATGGAATTATTTCTAGTATTTAGTTCTCCTAATTGCATGATACTATGTTCTCCATGACAATATAGTACATACATAAAACAGAGCATGTTTCAAAATTGCACAAGAACGATAGATCGACACATCATGACATATTTAACAAGATCTACAACCAATATATCACCATTTCAAGTGCAAAAGAATATCATGAACAACAAGAACACTATTTCATACAAGTAGTACCAAAAAAATGGTGATTTGCTCAATTTCTCTCCAAAACACAACAAACTTGGTCTCAAATTGTCATAAACAAACATACATTCATATACAAGTCAATTCATAGCAAGAATTTTGACATGGAAGCTCAAAATCAAAAAACCCCCAATTTGATTTTTTAGGGTTTTAAGCAAGTATGGAATTTACAACAAAATTTGAGACATAAGCAAGGGAAACTTACATGGATCCTTGTGAGAAATCGAAAATGAGGAAACTAGCAAAAAATCGGAGCAAATTTAGTGGAGATTTGAGTTCCAAAAGCTCGAAAAATCGCAAAAGTGTTGTAGAGAAACCAACGCAACCACCGTGACACGGTGGCTTAATGTCGCGCCACGGTAGAGATACCCCGTGTCACGGTGAAACGACGGCAGCAGCGGCAACCTCAGATGGCAGCAACAAGAAACGGTGAAAAAAGTGGTCGTGCACAGGTACGGACGCCGTGTCACGGTGGGTACTCTCGCACGCCGGTGCTGTCAGTCGTGGCACGGTGGCCGGATAAATATAAAAGAAAAAAAAAGAAGAAGGAAAGAGAACAGTAGGACATCGAGATTGAAAATGGTGAAGAAGAAGTGAGAAAATGGGGAAGAAGCAACTAGTATTTAAAGTCCGAAATGCCGTTAAGCTACGCATTTCTCGTGCCACGAATCTTGTTATCTTGTAACGGCATGTTTGCGCGTGGCACGGTGAAAATATCCAGGCGCGTGAACAATCCTAGCACAAAAGAAATCCCCGCGACACGAGATTCCCCACCGTTTGACGGGGTCAGACACCGTGTCGCGGGATTGTCCACGTGGCGCGGTGCCCTTTTGTGCGCCATGCATTTAGTTCTAAGCCTTCTGGCAGATATTTTAGCATCTTTGACCAAGTTGGAACGATTTTCCACAATTTTTAGTCAGTTATCTTCTCACCGGAATTGCGCAGAAAATTATAAATAGTACCAAAATTACCGATTTACCCCTAACAAGCATTAGGGTTGCATTTTCGACACTTTAAACACCTAATAATATAGTCGGATAGTCAACTTGAAGGTAAATCATATGCGGCCCACGTTCGGGGATAATCGAACCATTATACAATTGCAAATTTCAGGGATTATATCAATTGTCGGTTTTCCTGAATCATGGAAAACATTATCGGTGGATTTTTCTTCAAGTATAGAAAACCGCCAAGTCGGTTTTCCTCAAGCATGGAAAACATTATCGGTGGATTTTTCTTCAAGTATAGAAAACCGCCAGGTCGGCTTTCCTCAAGCATGGAAAGCGTTATCGGTGGATTTTTCTTCAAGTATAGAAAACCGCCAAGTCGGCTTTCCTCAAGCATGGAAATCATTATTGGTGGATTTCTTCAAGCATAGAAAAATACCAAAATCATACGTTGACTTTCTTCAGGAAAGGAAAGTATCATTCGGTAGGTTTTTTCAGGCTTAGAAAGCTACCAAGTTCATCAATCGACTTTCCTCAGGCATGGAAAATATTTCAGCGAAACATCGTCCGGTATATTCCTTCAAGCATAGGAAGCTACCAAACTCATTTGTCACCGATACATTGGTGTCAGATACGTATTCTATCCTTTTACTCTTTTATTTGTAGAACTAACATTTTTCTGCAGGTATCGGCGTATATAGAGTGATTTAGGATCGCAGAACGTCTTAAATCATTCTCCGTCCCAATCGACTACTTTGACTATCGTTTTCGAAACTGATGTTTCTACAAACTCAGTCAAAGTAGGGGCTTCTGTAGACACCTAAAAATGTCTCCCCAAAGAAAATAATCTTTCACCGCTGTTATTGGTCTGGTTCAGTATTTAATCCCGAGAGTGCTTAAAAAATCGTATTTAATCAAAATCAGTTTTTAATAATCCATGGATCAGTCTTGATATTTAGTCAAAGCATAGTTTATTTTTAATTTTAACCCAAACCTTTTTTTATTTTATTTTTAATTTTAGCCCAAATCTTTTTTTTATTTTATTTATTATTTTGGCCCAAACCTTTTTTATTTTATTTATTTTATTATTTTGGCCCAATTAATAAATAATAAATCAGAAATGACCCGAAATTATCAATCGGCACTTGAAAAGGTTGTCACGGCAGTAAGCACTGTGTCACGGGATCCAATGCCGTGCCACGATGGGATTCCCCGTGACACGGTGCATGTGCTGTGACACGGGGCATCTTTGTGTCCTTTCCGCGTAAACCCTTCACGCGTTTTATCCCCGTACCCTATTTCCCGCGCCACAGTGTTGTCTACCGTGTCACGAGATTGTCCACCGTCTGACGGTGCCTGGCACCGTGTCACGGTGCTATTTTTTAGGGTTTTTATCTTTTTAGGGTTCCGTGTGTTCCCTCTACTCATTTTTTTTTATAAATACCCCCTCATTTCTGATGTACGGGGCATCAACTAATTATCTCTTTTTCTGTATTCTATGCTCTAGCCTAAACACTAGCCTACCCTTCTTCTTTCAAAATTCTCTCTTCAAGCACTCCAAGGAGTCCATACTTTACTCGTGCTTTTGTCCTTAAGCCAAGGCGTGAAAGGTAAAACTGTTTGAGGGTTTGACCCCAAATCAACTCTATTTAATTTAATTTAATTATTGTTTTATTATTTTTCCTTGAAGTTACTAACTCGTTTATTATTTTATAGTTGCAATCAAAGAGAATCAAAGTAAGAATTATGTTCCTTTTATTTCTATTGGAAGCTTCTACTATAGTCGTCGACTACGGAAGACTATGGTCGACTACGCTAAGAGATTAAATCTGAACCGTTTATTGCGTTTGTTGTTTAATCTTAGCCTTTAAATATTAAATTTAAAAAAAAAAAATTAAAATCTAATTTACACATCATTTAAGTCATGACAAGTCAGCGACCAGTCAGCAAAGTGTTGTTTGATTTTTATCTTTATGGAGGATAAATTTTTTTTTTCCAAGTTATAATATTATAACTTATAAACAACCGTCTAAATAAATTATAAAATTGAAGTGAGTTGTCCAAAATGAATTAAAAAAAAAACATTTCATCTCTATTTTGATAGCTTCATACATCTTCAATGGCGCACTTCATATTTAACGGGCAATTCATCTTCAACCTTCATAATCTGATATGCTTCAAATTTTTTTTTCTTTTTTACTTGCATAATTTTATAGTTTATAATCAATTTAATCTGTTAGAACATTTTGATGATAGATAAAGTTGATGTTAGCTTTGGTGATAGGAAAATCAAGGTAAAGGTTCTAAGTATAGTTGATTTAGAAATTTCAGAATTGAACCATACCACTTCTAATGTATTGTACGAACGACTTTATTTAGAAATTTCGGAATTGATTGTTAGAAGTGGCATGGTTCATTTTGTGTTTTAATTTTTATTAGTCATATCAATTCGTGAATGATCATCCGCCATTGTTGAATGTTGAAGCTTTGTGTATGATTTTAAGTTGCCGATGGATGGAAAGATAAGGAAAAAAAATTAAAATTTCGTCAAAATATTTTTTAAAAAAAAAATTAAAGACGAAGAGATCATGGGGCGTTACAGATTGTGTGATTTTAGATTTTTAGGTAATTTACTACTTTACTTTCTTGCTTTAAAAAAAATCTATTGAGCGTTATTTTGGGGATATCCTTAATTTTCTCAACTAAAAAAACGTGGATGAAAAAAAAACTTAGAAAAAACTAGTTGGCTAATAAAATACAATTATTTACCAAAAAAACAAAGAAAAAAAAACCGTAATTTTTTTGGGAAAGAAAAGAAAAGTGTCAATCAAGCTTAGTTTTCCTTTCCTAAAAAAAAATAGGAAAAAAAAAGCTTAGTTTTCCTTGAATGAAGGTGAATTTTTTACTTAATTTATCTTTGATTATTATCTTTGCCAAAAAATATATAATAAAAAATGACAATATTTCTAGAATTGCATTAATAAGTGTTGATTTTTATTCCCTACACTAGATTAGGCTCGTGCGATGCACGAGTTTAACAATAATTTATGACTCTAACAATATTTTTTAGCTTATTTGTGTGTAATATGTACATAGTAGAAATAATTTAAGAAAAATCTAATAAATTGATAAATTAATAAGAAGTGGACACCCCAATTCATATAATTTATATAAAATATATGGAACAAGAGAAAAAGATACTTCGTAATGTTTATAAGAAAATGAAAAAGTCCGACCTTTCTTTAATTCTCTAATGAAAAATGCATAATTAGTCAATTCAAATATAAAATCTATTAGAAAAATATATAATTAATTTAGCATTTTCAAATTTTTATTTATGTTGAAAAAAAAATTAATGATGTCATTATTAGTTTTGGAGGGAAATTTTTTTACAAGAAGTTGACATGGAGAAAGTAATGACATCAACGGTAATTACTTTAGTTATACTTATAGATTATGTAGAATTTATATTTATAAACCTACCAAAACATAGAATTTAGGACTAAGGCAACAGCTTAAGCACATCAATATATATCCTTAAATAATATATTCTCTAAATAAGATATTTTCTTAAATCTAATCTAATATATATTTAAAGGGGAGTTTTTCTCCGAGTTTTTAGAGAGCCACGTAGAATTTAATTTTCTTAGCGCTCCATGTAGGATTATAAATTTAAGTGGTAGCCAATTAAATAAGAGATTATTAATTTCTTTTAAAATTAAATAATTCAAATGCCACGTAAGCAAAATTGACGAATGAGATTTTAAAGTTTAATGAAATTAAATACAAAATATTATCTTTTGAGATTAGAAATATCATCTAATATTTTAAAACTAATATAATAAAAATTTTAATCACATAAATATGAAAAATATTTTTATATATAAAAAAAAGACTAACAAACCGTGCATCGCACGAGCTTCATCTAGTATATTCTAAATTTAAATAAGATATTCAATCATACATTGTCCAATCATTATAAATATTTAATATTGAAAAATATACTATATCTTTGTCAAATTTGCATTTAAATTTAAAAATATATACTTATACATATTTGGATTTTGAGGTCTATTCAGTTCACCTTATATTCAGTTCAGCTTAGTTCAGTTCAGCTCCAATCAGCTCAGCTCAACTCAGCAAATGTGAACAGACCCATAGTAACCTTATTTTTAACATATTAACCTTTATGCTATGTTTTGATAACAACTTATAAGGGAAATGGAAGGGAGGGAAATAGGAGGAAGGGGAAAGAAGGGAAAGTGGAGGAAATGATGAGCTCCATTTTCCCTCCAAATCTCTCCAATTTTGAAGGGATGGTCTTTATTAAAGGAGGAGGGAAAATGGATCCCTCCCTCCCCCAACATATTATCCAAACAAGGAACTTTGTCTCCCTCCCTTTCCCTTCCCTTCCTTTCCTTCCATTTTTTGTTATCCAAACATAGCCTTAATATTATTGTGCACCTGAAGTATGATGTTATGTTGAACAAATTGACCTTATATACCCTTCAATCCACAATGATGTTCCTATTTGGAATCTTTGACTTCCAAAAAATGAGAGAGCATTCTCTCAATTTCTCTCAATCTATTAAAATAAATATAGTCATGCGGAATCTAATTTGGTTCATCTTAATTGGTGTGTACATTATTAATATCTAACTTTTATAATTTTTGCTAGTGTAAAATTAAAGAAATTTTTTGTCAAAAAGGGGTAAAAACTTACGTTGATTTACGTAAACAAGAACATCATTCTGAAATAGAAGGAGTACCTAAATGATTTTTATTTCAATAGAAT